GAATGGCTGTCAACAAGGACCAAGAAGAACTGGCCCTGAAAGGGCCCAGCGTAGTCAATGTGCACCCTAGACCATGGGGACTGTGTTTCCTCCCATCTATGCACAGGAGCTTGGGGCATCTCTGGGCGAGATCGTTGGCACAGTGTACCTTAGCCTCAATATCTTTATCTAAAGCAGGCCACCACAAGTGGCTGCGTGCAAGAGCCTTCATACGAACAATGCCAGGATGACCCTCGTGGAGGGATTCTAAGACCCTAGTCCTCATTGAGGTGGGAATGACAACTCTGTTTCCCCAAAGCAGACAACCCTGAGAAAGGGACAGTTCGTTTCTTTTGGACCAGAAACTCTGAAACTCAGGACTAGGGCAGTGCTCAGGCCACCCGGACAGGACCCAGGAGCGGACACGTGAAAGTGTGTGATCTGTACCTGTTTCAGCGGTAACATCCCTGGCACTAAGAGGAGCTCGGGCAAGGCTTGGATTGATAGAATGTTGACAGCTGGCGCGGGGTCAGCTTCTACTACTGGCAGAGGCAACCTACTGAGGCCATCAGCATGGCCCATTTCTTTCCCAGGCTTGTGGAGTATGAAAAATCATATGCAGACAAAGAAAATAGACCACCTAAGCATTCTAGGGGAAATGATGTGGGGAGTCTGCTTACGTGTGGTAAACAGTCCCAGCAGAGGCTTATGGTCAGTGAAGACCGTGAAATGCCTGCCATATAGAAAATCGTGGAATTTTTTAATTCCAGCAACAACAGCCAGAGCCTCCCTGTCTATCTGAGCGTAGTTGCGCTCGGCAGAAGACAGTGTTCTGGAGTAGTATGCAATAGGAACCTGAGTTCCATCAGACCTGAGGTGACTCAGGACAGCTCCAACCCCGTAGGGGGACGCATCACAAGCGATGCACACAGGGAGAGACTCGTTGAAATGTGCAAGAACACTGTTAGAAGTGAGCAAGGCCTTGACTTCTTTAAAGCAAGCCTCATGCGCTTGTGACCACAGCCACACAGCCTGTTTGTCTAGTAGCCTGTGAAGAGGCTCAGCTACACTAGCTTTATGTGGAAGAAAAGAATTGTAGAAATTCAGGAGGCCTAGAAGGCCTGAAGTTCGGCCTTAGACTTTGGCCTGGGTGCATCTAAAATAGCAGTTAGTTTGGATTCAGCAGGATGAATCCCAGCAGCATCAATTTTGAATCCCAGAAATTCAGTAGAAGGCACCCCAATCTGGCATTTGTCTTTTCTGAGCTTGAGGCCTGATTTCCTGAATCTTAACAGGACAGCCCTAAGCCTTTCAGCTAGAATGTGTGTGGAGTCTCCTGCAATCAAGACATCGTCAAAGTAGGGGTAGACCCCTGGTATACCTCGTAGTGTGTTTTCCATAACGCTTTGGAAAATCCCAGGAGCGACATTCACTCCAAACTGTAGCCTTTTTACTTTAAAGGCTCCCCTGTGGGTCACAATGGTCTGAGCTATGGCAGCATCATCATCAACAGGCAGCTGTTGATATGCTTGAGCTAGGTCAAGCTTTGCAAAAACACGCCCCCCCTTGAGAGAGGCCAGGATGTGACTGACCACAGGAACAGGATAGGCATGTTGCTGCAATGCCTTATTGAGTGTGCATTTGTAATCAGCACAAATGCGAATGTCCCCATTTGCCTTTAGAGGCGTGACAATGGGGGTCTCCCATGGGCTGGAATCAACAGGTTCTAGGATTCCTTGTTGGATTAGTTTGTCTAATTCAGTGTCAATCTTACTTTTTAAAGCAAAAGGGACCCTTCTTGCTTTAATCCTAATGGGAGTGACAGTGGGGTCTAGCTTTAAGGACACAGGTGGTCCTTTGAATGTGCCCAGCTGGGGGCTGAAAACATCTGCAAATTCTTTGCAGACTTCCTGTAGGTCGAGTGTTTGTAAGCTGTTGAGTCCTGTGACGTGTATCCCCAGGGCCTCAAACCAATCGAGTCCTATGAGACTCGTTCGTTCACCCCCTACTACTAATAAGTCTAGTGGACCTTCAAAACTCTTGTATTGCACGTTAAGGGTGGCCTCCCCCTTAACACACACTCTTGAGTTCTGAAAATCTGTTAATACAATATCAGAAGGCCTTAACTTGGCCTTAGACCCACTTCTGGAACAAATCTTCCTAAATGTATGCAATGAAATGATGGACAGGGCAGACCCTGTGTCTAGTTCCATAGATAATGGAACCCCTTGTAGCTTCACGTTGAGTGACAGCTTTTTCTTCATGGGCTTGTGTGTGCCTGTTCTACAGATGCTTCTTCGCGAAGCGCAAAAACCTACCCTATTCTGGCTGGGGAATCTGGTACCCTTCAGGCGTTCTTCTTGGGGTTGTGCCTTTCGTCGGCCCAGGCACACAGCTGCAATGTGCCCTTGTTTACCGCATGCCCGGCAGGTAGCGGAGCGGAACTTGCAGTCGGTTCTCCTGTGGCGACCTCCACAGCCGATGCACTTGAGCGGAGCCGAAGAGCTTCCCTTCTGGTTCTCTTCCTTCGCGGGGTGTAGACGGTCGACTTCCTCGTCCGGATCCTCCTCGGAGTTTCGTCGGACGTCTTCCTGGTGCACGGACGCACCCTCTGCACTGTTCTGATCGGCCGCATGTTTTTGACGGCGCCGCCTGCTGCTTCTTCTGCGGTGACTTCCCTTAAGGCGTCTTGGAAGGATAATTCTTCCTTTGCGAAAAGTCTCTGTTGTAGCTCGCGATGCCTTAACCCGCACACGAATCGGTCCCTCAGTCGTTCCTCGAGGTCCTTGAACTCGCAGGGCTTGGCGGCCTTCCGTAACGCGGCGATGTATTCCTTGGCTGACTCACCGGACCGTTGATCCCTCTGTTCGAAGATGTGGCGCCATGAGATAACGGACACCTTGGGGTTGAAGTGCTCCTTCAGCAGCTTCTTCAGGTCTGCGTAGCTTACAGACTCTACTGGGACAGGTGCTGCAATGTTTTCTGCGATTTCGAAGGTGTCTTGGCCGCAAACGCAAAGCAGGGTGGCCGCCTTCAAGCTATCTTCCCTCACTTGGTTTGCCTTGAAGTAGTTCTCCATTCTGGATTCGTAGGACTCCCACCGCTCTGGATGTGAGACGTCGAATTCCGAAAGCCTTCCGATTTTCGCCATCTTCGGATCTTCAGGAGACGGGTCTATCAGCCAGCCTACCCCCGAATGCGCACCGGATTGGCGGGCAGCTGCCGAGTCGACGCCATTCCTCTTTCGCCGCTCAGGACTCCTTGGGTAAGCTTACACTTCTTCCTTTCCAGGTAGTGCAAGGCATCCCATCCTCGTCGCCAGTGTTGAGTCCGTGGCGGGAAAACAGACACGAGAAGCAGCTGGAGTTCTCAGTTTCATTTATTCAGCGTTCAGCTACAGGAAGATGGCTTCAGCCTCGCCCAAACGCCTCGCAGCCTCTTATATAGGCAACTCCCGGGTAAATGGGTTACTTTTCCCGCGCCAGCACCCGCGCATGCGCACGGCGCTGGCGACAGCCTGTCTGGTCCCGGGCAGCTTTGCACCTGCCCGGGACTGCCTGCAAATGCCCGAGCCGTTTGCAAGGCTCGGGACATAACAATGGGTCGGACACGACTTCGTAATTAACAACAACAATAATCTAAACTCTACAGGCAGTTAGGTAGACAGCTAAAGCTTGTAAAACCCAGCCGCCTCCATTTTCTGGCACACCTTTTAGGGTTTTTTTTTTAAAAAAAAAAAAAAAACTTCAAGGGGGAAAAGCTGTGGAAGGATTTTCTCTCCTTGTTGGCTTGGTGTCTCTACTCTTCAGTCTGGAATCAAGGAGGGCAGAGGGAAAGTTTACCTTTAGTACCTATTTTTTTTTTCTGGTGGGGGCTGAGAGGGAAGATCAACAAATCCCTCCCTCCTAGCTTTTTTTATTGTTATTTTATTGAAGAAACATGGCTTTCTGAGGGAAGGAGGGAGGGTGTCAAGTAAGGCAAAGATTTTGGGAAGCTTGTCCTGAAAGCTGCTTTTTAGGCAAGGCCCCTCTTTCCAAAGCCTAGAGAGGCAGGGGAGCTTTGCCAAGCCTTCATGGGCAGCTGAGAAAACTCTGCAAGGAGCTGCCATTTTAGCAAGAATGATGGCGAGGGTGATGCAAATGGCAATTGCTTCCATGAGGCACAGGGAGCAGGCCTAAGTGCTGCAGGGATGGGAGGAAAGACAGGCAAGGGAGGGCACTGCAGCATCCCCTTTGTCTGTCGTAAGCGCAAATGACGCTTGATCTGTCATAACTATCAGACAGGTTGGTTTGTAGAGTCAGTTGCTATTTTGAATGATTATTAAATGGACTGTCCTTTTTTTGAGGACTACAGATAGTCCTCGATTTACAATAGTTCATTTAGGGACCATTTGAAGTTAACAGTGGCACTGAAAAAAGTGAGTGATGACCATTTTTCATGCTTATGACCATTGCAGCATCTCCATGGTCACGTGTTTTATATTTGGATGCTTGACAACTGACTCACATTTATGACGGTTTGCAGTGTCCTGGGATCCCCTTTTGCAACCTTCTGACAAGCAAAATCAATGGGGAAACCAGATTCACTTAACAACCAGATTAGTAATTTAATAACTGCAGTGATTCAGTTAACAAATGTGACAAGAAAAGTCATAAAATGGGGCAAAACTCACTTAACAAATTTCTCACTTAGCAACATAAATTTTGGACTCAATTGTGGTCTTAAGTCAAAGACTAGCTGTACCTGTATATTTTATAAGCCAGGGAAGTTTTCTCCATAACCAATGGAGTTAGCATTATTACTACATTAGCCACATGGTGGAGCCTTCAGCACCTTCTAATTATATCTCAACTTCAACAGAATCCCCAGTAGCTTAGAATTAGATGCTGCCCCTCATGTGGCTAGATTTCATCCTATGTAACAAGAAACCAGCATGTTGCAAGTATGACATTTATTTGAATTAATATTTTTATATTTCCTGCCACAACAGGAGATTTGCAAGACAAGTATGTATTTCTTACTTTTACTTTCCGGCATTGTCAGTCTTTTTTTTTTTTTTTTTTGAAAGATGATAGATTGGGAGTTTGATATAGTTGCCATTAATGAAAGTTGGCGGGATGAAACTTGGCAGGATGAAACTCATGATTGGAATGTACTAATGGAAGGATACAAACTATTCAAAAGGAACAGACCTAACAAAAGAGGAGCTGGAGTTGCGTTATATATAAAAAATGGCTACATCTCTATAGAAATGCACAAAACCAAGAATGAAAACCTCCTAGAATGCATATAGGTCAATATAAGATGAAAACGCAGGGGGTTGGACTAGAAGATCTCCAAGGTCCCTTCCAGCTCTATTCTGATTGATAAAAATCCTTTTCTCGCATTCTATAGTTTTGATCCTGCTTTTCCAGTAAAGCGAGGGAAGGGACATCTCGAGAAATTCTGCTCATTTAGAGAAAGGAAATCATAAGAGAGTAGAAATTTGTTTGATGCCTGTGCTTCCTGTTTGCTTTTAAAGTGCTTTTAAAGCACTCTCTGCTGGGGAATGAAGATATCTGTCTCATCCTTTGTCTAGGAAGATAGTGACTGATGCTTAGGCCAGATTCCAAGACCAGATAGCAGGAACAGATTCCTGAATAAACATTCCTGATAGAAGCCTTTCTCTTCTCAATTGCATATTCATGTGCAAAATGTTTGAAGCTGCTGCAAGAAACAACCATTATCTTGGAGCAGACAGTATCAGCAAACATACCTCCCCTACCGCAGTGAGGATAGGAAAGCCAGAAGATTGTCTTGCCCAAGAAGTTTGTGAATGATTGAACTATCTCATGTTTGCTTTCTGCCTATTAATTCAGGGTTAAACTCCAGAGAGAAGCTGTATGAAAACTATACAATCCCAGTTCCTTGAAAATCTTGAATCCTTGGTTACTATACCCAGCAGCAGCCCTACATCAGCTTTTTCTCCAATTTAGTTGCTCCAATTCAGTTATATTTCAAGTTATATAAGGTAAAACCACATGTAATCCCTCAGCACTGCAATAACTGTGTAACAATATTATTTGCATGCTACACATTATGTATTTGAGCTGTTTTTTTTAATAATAAGCAAACAAAGAGATTAAAAAACTTCGCTGTTATAGAATGGTAGTCTGGGTAGTTGAAATCCAGATGTGATATCCCTATTGCTTGCTAAATTATTACACTTGGAACCAGCAGTGATTCTTCTCCCTATTTGTCATTAATTGCACAAAATATTTGAGATGGAGTTATGTCATGGCCTGTGAAAGGATTTAACATCTGTTTAACATGTTAAACCAATGTTTGTATCAGCCACCTGATCATGCAGCTGTATCCGTTAAATTCTTTATGGATATTTTCCCTGCATTGATGCACACTGGTAATTTTTCTAAAGAAGTTCATCAAGATTAAGTTTGCCTATGAGATTTCAAAAGATTCAAACAATGTCACAGGGAATATTATAAAAAAGAACAGCTGTGAGATTCATCTCTTCAATTTAAAAAAAATATTTCTGGCTTTATATGATTCCTCTCATCTGATTTAATTGAAGATATTATTGACTGTTACACTGAATTTGTTATACTGAATAATGAAATTATTATAGAAGCTAAAATGTAGATGTGGAAGTGAACATTTTAATCTCTTTCCACACAGATTGAATCCCTTCCCCATCTACATTAGTTGGACATTGCACAACTAGGGATGCAGTTGTGGGGAAAGGGAAAAATCTGTATAAAAGAGTTCTTTTTTAAAAAAGTATAGATCATCTAGTTTATTTATTAAAAAAGGCAGGATAAAAAAAGAAATCTATAAATTCCAATTTCTACTCACACATTCTATTGTTTTCTGAATCTCAGTTCATATTACTACAAAGTATTAATGATAGAAAAAGTAAAGATACATTATGCTACTAAAATATTGGAAAAATGAAACATATATTCATATATATTTAGTATGAACAAATGGCTAAAAATTAGGGAGCACAAATCCTCTGGTTCTGCTATATAAATTTAACTAAATTCTATTTCACATTTAGCCAAATTCTTACATAAAAGGAAATGTGTAAAAACTCTGTACTGGATAATCACAAGTTACAAATTACAAAAACTGTTTTCTACACAAGAATTTTTTAACAGATTTGAACCATAACACAATGCGTTTTAAAAAAAAATACAGCAATACAATGTAAACATACAGCTTAATAATAAAATCTATATTTTAAAAAGAATTACAATGATATATATACAGTACTGTAATGCTATAACCAATAGCAGTAATATTGAACAGATTAATGGAAATTAATAGTATTGAGCAATTGTCAGTGTTAAGCACAGGATCAACACCAACTTTATCGCCTATATAAATACTTTCATCTCAAAGTTTGAGAACATGACTTCATGTTGCCTAAAAGACATCTAGGAACTTTGCTCATTTTTAGCTTTACCATTTCATGTAACATTTTTGATCAAAACTAAAAACTCTTAGTATATAAATAATTATTAGATATTTGATTGTTAAGACTTATATTAAGGACTTAATAGACTAAAACATCTAGAGGGCCTAAGGTTGTGCACCCATGAATTAAGATGCAAAACAGAATCTTTGAAAATAACAGTTGTCTGTAAACAGAAGACAATAAACATGTCACATTTTATCACTTTGTAATAGGGTCCAAGTGAAGTGAATGATGCTATAATAATATAACCCCTTGACAGAAAAGATAAGCTTTAGGAGTATCTCCTGATATATGGAGAAGCTCCAGGTGAACTTTCCCTCATAATGCAAATTTATATTTGTTTATTTAGAACTAGATCCTACAATGCAAGTATCTAATCTCAAAAACAGATATGGGCAAATGCATTTAAAAAACAAAAATTAATTGTCCCATTTTCACTTTCCATGCAAAGCAAGAGACTGGTCCAAGACATTTGTGTCTGAACAGAAAGTCATAATCTTTTTATTTCTTCATGAAAGAGATAAATGACTATCCTGAAAGAGACTCCAAATATAATCCTCAGGGTGATACCTCACTCTACCAGGTTCATTAACGATAGTGGATCCTGCCATAATGTGAAGACCTTTTAGGGAAGCCTTCCGTAATCTGGTCTCTTGTAGATTTTCTGGACTGTAGGACAACAGGTGGTGTGGTTACTCTACAACCTCCCTGATAACTTAAAACATTATTATTTAATACTAAGTTTATGTCTATGTTAACTAGCCATATTAACACAAAAAGTCCACTATTTGTGGAGCAGAATACCACTGTATTTATTTTTCTCTGACTAATGAGTGGTATCAATATTGGGGCCAGCCCAGATTTTACTGTTTATTATTATAGCTTTCATTATGGCTTAAAGGAATATTTACTCAAATGGAATTAAAAGTCCCATAAGGAGGGATACTGCCAGATCTATAGCCAGATCAGGAGGACCCCCCCCCAAAAAAGGGATTTCTTATTGCCTTTTCAAGATAGATTTAGAGAAAGAAGAGGAAGAAATAATAGAGGGTATCCCTGCTTTCCTTCTGAATGCAGGTCTGTCCATGTTTCTACATATAACTCAGATTAAGACTGATGGTAACTAATTCCTGTGACAGATGTACTTGTCTGCCATAGCAACAGGAATGCATTCTTAAGAATCTACAAAAAGAGCTATGTACTTCTCTATGTCAGGGTAACAAAGGTTTGAAATCTAGGTAACGCTACCTGATAAAAAAGGGAGAAGGAAATTCTATGTGCCTGCTGTTTAAATGTGATGAGAGAAAAATTCTGTACTTTGCATAAATTAAGCAGATTTGCACAATTGTTTTAATTTTATGTCACTGGTTGTTGCATAGTTAGATCAGTTTGACCAGCACCGGGTAAGGTAAGTCAGCAGAGGACTGAAAACTCACTCTATTGCCTTTCCTGTTCCTGGAACTTTATGCACAGATTTACTATAAAATCTAGAAACTTTTCCCCAGAAAAAATAATAATAAAAGCCAGGTATTTACACTATATTAATTCTAAAACTGGTATCATGTTACATCCATGCCATACTAATGCTGCCTGTCCTTTCATCGCTTCATCCTCCATAGCTTCTGACACACCATGCCAAAGAGTATTGCTCACGACAAATAGGGCCTAGAAGCTAGATGTGGGTCTCTGATGATTTCCAGAAAAGTCATGTAGACCATTGGGGCTCACGAGCAATGCAAGATTATCCCTAAAACCTTAAGCAGAGAGGGAGATGACCCAGATATTAAAGGCCACTTTTCCAGCCTTTAAAAAGTTCATTTATCACTCCAGATGAAAAGTTTGTATTTAAAAAAAAATAACAAAATTTAAAAGCTAATTGCTTTGAGACTGATTGTGACTCTGTAAGTTCCTTCATTACTATGGGAAAAATTCTTAATGATTCTGTTTTATACCAGCATGATCCATATCCTGGATGCACAGTGCTACAAACTGCAAATTTCAGGTAGAATAATATTTTACACTTATATACTTACCTGTGAATTTTACAGCAAGTAATGCTTTTTTAAAAATAATAGAGATGAATGGTATTGCCCAAAACATAATTATAGTATAATTCTATATTAAGAATTATTGGGCTCCTTGGAAAATACAATTATTTCATGTACAAGATTTGAGAATGACCATTTTGAAGTATTTAAGTGCTTAAACAACTGTAGTTCCTCCCTCACCCCCATCCCGCAATACTGACTCAAATGATTAGGAAGACTGGGCATGGTTAAGATTAGTATGCTCAGTAAATATTTAGATTTTAGTGAAATCACAAACTTCCTTCCCAGATAGCTCAATTTCCTCTGCTAAGCAGAATCTGTTGTCTTCAGCTTAACTGTCCTTGTCTTTACAGCCTGGCAATATCCCACAATAGCTTGAGTCCAAGCTTTCTTGCTTAAGATGAGCTGTACTTGTTACTGGAGCGGAAATTGTCATATCCGTGGTCATTTGCTCTGAACTTTAAGCAGGACTGTTTCTCCTCCAGAGATAGCATGTCTTTGGAATGACACCAGCAACAAAGGCATGACTGTAAAGCAGAAGGTTTCTCCATTAAAAGGGCTATTTATATGTGTATTTATACATTTACCTAACTCTCTAAAATACAGAACCATTATTGCTGATTCTTTCACAGAAATCAGAACCCAAAAATTCCAAATATTCCCCCCACCACCACCTTGTCTAGCTACAAGAATCTTCATGACCATTTGATTATGAAAGAGAGATGATACATATTCTTTTCAGAATATTTTTACAGCTTCATTTGAACTTTAACTTTGAACTTTGAACAGCAGCAGTCCTCACAGACAGAGAAATCTCTTTCTGAGCTCTTGTGAGAGTCTTCACTTTCTCACAGCCTTAACACAGATAGCCTGTCCTACAACAGTAGCTAACAATGAACTCTACATTCCTGTGTCATTTTTGTGGGGCTCTCAATAGACCATTATGGCATGCCTAAATGTTGCTGGAAAATAATTTTGGAGTCAGAAAAGTGGACATTTTCCTATATATTTCAGTGATGTTATTGTTCAATAATATACTCCCTGCACCTTTTGGGATTGAATATTTATTTTATTTTGTCTAATTCAATTTGTCCAACTCCTTAACTCTTACAAGTAAAAGAGACTAAAACAATACTGTTCATATAAAAGAGAATATGGCCAACTAGAAGAACAAGATTAAGTTAAACTAAATGGGGCTCTACAGTCAGTCTACCCATAAGCCTGGGAGAACAGCCTCGTTTTTAGTAAACCTGGGGGGGGGGGAGTTATTTCTGAGGGCAGGTGCTGTAAATGAGTAGGCATTTTGTTGTATTTTCAGACAAAGTGGTAAGTTACCAATATTGTTTATACTTGTGATGAAAGAGGAAGTTGTTTCTTTATGTATTTCTTTTTCTTCACTATATTTTTCTTTTTCTTTCATTTTTTTTCTTTTCTTTCTAATCCTTTTTATTTTTTTAATTTTTTCCCAGTGTGAATTAACTTTTATCTTTTTAAATGCAATATCTAATATAATTTACCAAAATAATAAAGTATTGCCCTGAAAAAAAAAACAAAATTTTATGGTGTTATATATTTATTGAGAAAAACTGTATCTTGTGTCGGTCATTTTTGTACAACATTTTTGTATTTTCCATACAAACAGACTCATAATCAAAAAGGCATTATAAAAGTGACTCTGAGCTTCTAAATTTTGATATTGTTCAGTTAGAAAAGGACTAGAGCAAGGGTGTCAAGCTGCCGGTCTGCGGGCCAGATGTATCATGTGGAAGCCGTGCCTACCCCATTGTCAGCAATGGCAAAACAGTCCTAATACATTGCATCATGTGACGTCGCGAGTTTGACATATCTGGACTAGAAGGTATCATTTTGTCATATTTAAGGTTAAATCATGTTTTGTGCTAGTAATTGTCAAAAGACCTCAACCTTCTTTACAGAAAGCTACTTCCAGAATTGAATACTTCAATTTCCCTTGGCTTACCCATAACCAACTTGGTCTTTGTGCCAAACTTTGTCCATTAGGCAAGGAAACCACAAAACTCAATTATCCCAGTTTTCAGTTAAAAGAATAAAACCCATTATCGATCAATAGCACAAAACACTGTATCCATTTCATGCTTATATCAATATTGTGGACAATATCCTGTAAACTACTGTGTATGGAAACATTCTAGGACATTCCTTGGACTATGAATGAACAATTATTTAAACTTATAATTATGAGAACTTAAAAGTTTCTATGTGTATTGACATATTGGACATACATTTGAATTCTGTAGATCTTAGGAAGCTTTTCATTTATTGTCTAAGGAACAGCAATCTTTCCCTATTGTTGCCTTCTATGATTCACTATTGCACTCTGGTGAATGATCCAGTTCTCTAGATTGCCTAATTGCAAGGAAAATTTCTTCTGTAACAAAGCTTACTGTGACTGTCACTAAAAAATGGGCATTTTTTAAACAGAATTGAATTTCTTCAGCAAGAGGTTTCATTTGATGCCATTCAGCTTCATTTTTAATAAGACTGGATAAACAAAACTTACCTTAAAGCAGTTTTTGAATCTTTTGCTCACCAAATAAAGAGCAATTGGGTTGATGCAGGAATTCAAAGATGCCATATTGATTCCAACGTAGTTCATCACCAGCAAAAAACTGTACCAAACCGCCCCCCCCAAAAAAAGATTGAAGGTTTATTATAATAAGGATTACAAGATGACCAAAGCAATATAGTGTTCTCAGCTTTCCCTTGACCATGAAACACAGTGAGTAAATTGTGACTGTTGTGAAAATAAAAAGAAGTAGGGAAGGGTCAAAATTGGTAAGACAATAGTTATGATCTTTTGCATGTACAGGCAAAACAGAAAGTTCTGTTAGGAATTGTTTCTTTGGGAAAGCAGCATCAGGAAAAGTAAATGAAAACAACTATCTTTTTAGCAATCATCTGATTGAACTCTACCTGTTTGGAAGAAAGCTAATTCCATTGTTAGTGAAAGTAAATTTATGGATCAGTACGAAATCAGTTTATCAATGGAAAAGAAACGGGGAAACTACTTTTCAGAAGATGATATCTTGAGGGCTCCAAAATGCATTCTTGCACTCAATATGTAAGGGGATTCATAATTCCTAAAAGCTCTTAAAGCAGGGGTGTCAAACTCACAATGTCATGTGACGTATCGCGACATATTGTGACCTTTTTGCCATTGCCAGCAATGGAATGGGCGCGGTTTCGCTATGATGCATCCAGCCCACGGGCTGGCAGTTTGACACCCCTGTCTTAAAGCATTCAGTGATCTTTAAGGAAATCCAGGGAAGAGAAGGGTTTCCCAATCTTTCATGCAAAAGCATATTGCTTCCTACACTTATTGTCTTAACCTTATTTAAAAAGTTATATCCTGTAGCGTGATTATTATTCAGGAATCAATTGCATCTGTGCATATCTTCCGGACAGTTCTTTACATTATTGGCAAAATCTGACCACTAATACTGGAATAAAATAAGTATATATGAGGTCCCAGATTGAGTAGTGAGCAATAGTATTTCATTTGAAGTATATATATCATGTATTTAGGAGAACTGATGGGAATTTAAGACCAGCTAGAACCATAAAAATGCATCTCCTATAGGAAATGTGGGGATTGCACATGGAACTATTGATTTTCAATATTTGTCCTGCTTTTTAAAGGATTTTTTTCCTTTGATTTGAGAGAAAAGAATTTTTCTAAAGCCAGATTTTAACACAGAATTAATTCAACTTATTTTTGACAGAACTTCAGTCCCATTCGGAATCCTGCATGTTTTTACAGTATTTTTATACAGCTGATAAGAGCACAAAATCTGGCTCTTTCATTTCAAGCTGTAGCAGTCTTACCTCAAAAGATCACACCTGTTTGGGCTGCGGGGATCATAGAGAGCAAACTTCAATATGCTACTGAGATGAAGAGGCAGCCAGCACAAGGCGAAAACAATCACTAAGCAGAACACTGTTTTGGCTACTTCACGTCTCTGAAAGAAAGAAAAAAAACACAATTGGGAGATAAGATAAGATAACCTTTATTGTCATTTTTTTTACTGTGGGCACAACGGCACACATCAAAAATGAAATTTAGTTGCCTGATCTCAGTGTGAAACACATCAAAGTGAAACACATACATGACACGCATACATGATAAAGGTAAATAAATAGTTGGGTATATTAATGGCTATTAATAGTTTCTAATTTGTTACAAATACAGGTAGTCCTTGACTTACAACAGTTCATTTAGTGACCAAACAAAGTTACAACAGCACTCATAAAAGTGACTTATGGCCATTTTTCACACATATGACTATTGTGGCATTCCCAGGATCATGTGATCAACATTTAGATGCTTGGCAACTGACTCATATTTATGACAATTGCTGTGTCCCAGGGTCATGTGATCTCCTTTTGCAAACTTCTGACAAGCAAAGTCAATGGGGAAGCCAGATTTGTTTGACAATCTTGTTACTAAATTAACAACTGAAATGATTCATTTAACAAATGTGGCAAGAAAGGTCGTAAAATGGGGCAAAATTGACTTAAGAAATGTCTCACTTAGCAACAGAAATTTTGGTCTTAGCTGTGGTCGTACGTTGAGGACTACCTGTATGCTTAAGAATGAATACTGAAATCACCACAAGGTTTGTTTTACCTTTTTTTAAAATATATTTTATTGATTTTTTTACAATAACAATCTTTAGTGCTTAGTAAACAGCGTGTTGTCTGGATTCATATATTTAAAAATCAATCAATAATTTCTATAATTCCATAATCAGTATATTAATATTTCCTTGATCTTCTCTTCTTCCAGTAGTATTCTCCTTTTGTCAACATTAAACAAATATAGTTCTTAATACTTTCGATACATACAAGGTTGGATATAAACATTTTTCTTGTGTTTGTACAAATAACAGTAACATCAGCATATAACATCTTTTCTGACCAGCTTATGTTTCAATTTTATTTGTAAAAGTCATCTTATTAAGTCACTATATGTCCTGTTTTCAAGATCCTTATTTAAGCTTAGTTTCCCCTCTGTATTCAAACCATTCTTATCAGTCATAATTTTCTCAAAGTTAATTACCTTTAAATATCCAAACTTTTCATTCACATACACTATCCCAATATTTTTACATTTCATGTATTATAAAAAGTACTATACTATGTGTATGTCTTATCCCTCTTAGTGTAGGACCCCTTTATATCCATAATTTATCTATTCTTTTAACCATATTCAAACATATTTAATCGTATAGTACTCCATCTGGTAAGTCGTATCAAATCTCTTGAATCTAACTCTAATTTTCTTCTTTTGCCAAGTAGCTTTCTGAGTCAGTGTGTTCAGTTTGCCAGGGGATTCTTCCTGTATTTTTGTGAATGTTGTTGGGAATAGGAAAGACAAGTTAGGTATGATGTGCGTTTTTGTCTCCCAAACTCTAATGATTCTCCTGGATGTTCTATAATCCATTTTGTTAGATCTTCTTTCTTATCTTCAAGTTTGTTTTGAAGCCCTGAAAAATAAAATATCTTTTCCATTTCCATTGTTGTAGCAAAATCTTGCAAGTTTTCCTCTATTTGTATTAAGCTGTGGTTCTCTTCATTTGTAGCTTCCCTCTTTGGGTCACCGTCCTCTAGTTTGTGTTCTGTTATCTGATTTGTTTGTTCATTCTTCATCCTCGTTTTCTGAGAATTTTTTAATTGTAAGTTTAGGTTAAAAATGTGCTCATTTATGTCATCAAAGTTGTTTTTAATCTCATCATGATTTGAAACAATTGTCATATGAATCTATCACAGCATTGCATATATTTCCCCCTGGAAAATATTTGCCTTGTCTTGAAGTATTGCTCCTGTAGATCTCTGATGTTCTAGGCTGGGGCCTTCAGAGGGAAATATTTGGTGTGGTTCCCTGCTACTTTTAGATAGGTATGCAGTATCCATTTTATCTCCCCCCTCCAGATAGTCTTTCACCAATACCATAGTCTCTGTGATTAGCCTTGTCAAACCAGCCAATCTTGAAATACAACCAAATCTTATATAGTTCTTATCTTTATATGTGGTTTTTTTAATCCAATGCATTTCCAATTGTCAAAGCACCACTAAAAGCAGTATTTTATAATGTTTCTTCTGTTCAGGGGTTTTACTATTATCAGCCAGCCAAAATTGCAGTCTAAAATGTATAACCACCTAAGAGGTTTCCAATAAATTCCCCCCTAGAAGATTAGTCCAAAGTCAAGGTTTTTCTTTCTCTGCAAACAATTCTTGACCTTAGAAATCACAGCTCAGTAAGTGTTTATAATCCCAGAAGGCCAGCAGTTTTTAAAACAAATATAATTCTCATTCTGTAGTAGGTGGCCCAGTGTATTTTCTTTCCTCTGTTCCCAGCTGTTTTCTATTTGGTTAGAAGTCACTGAAGTTCAGAGGAACAAGTTGTTCTTTATTTCTGGGCATCTAGCCAATTGCTGAGTCAATGCACCTGCTGTTTTATGCTCTAATCTTCCACTAGATGACAGTAGCTATTCATTTTCCAACTTTTAAAACAAAGAATTATTTTCTTGTAATTTCATCAATACTTTTTCCAATGTGGAATCTTAACAGTTTTCATAATTTTCAGATTTATCCAGATTTATTTCAGATTTATTATTAACTTGATTTCAATATATTTCTGTCCCCCATAAAAATTAAATCGCTGCTTCCGTCTATGGAAAGGTGAGGATGTGATCCCCTCCCTTCTCACTTTCAGAGGATTTTTTGCCTCTTGGGGATCTTTTCCAGGAACTTGGTACAAAATAGAAGAGAGATTGATATTCTCACCCAGTTCCAAGCACGCTGTTCACAGTTGTTCTGGTTAGTGTTTTTGGACTTTGGCTGCGGGTAACTTGGGGTAGTCACCAAGGTGCAGCTAGCCTTTCTCCTGTCAGTTTGGAGGGCTTCCCCCAGATCAAACAGATCGATCACCATCATTCTGCGATCATTAGGGGGCCTCTCCTTCGTTGCCTCTCTGGGGCGACTTTAGACCCATTTAGAGTCCCTTGGCAGGACGAAACCAGCCGTGGGGTGCGGGGACCTGCAATCCCTCAGCCATGTAACTATGATGCAAGGCCAGAAGTCCTGTTTTACCATTTTTATATAATTCCTTGCAATGTCCTCCACATTTCAGTATGTAAAACAGGAGCTGACATGCATAGAACTTATCGTGTCATTTCTGTCATTTAAACATGCCCATTCCAAATAACTAGGCTTTCACATAATTTACGCCTGGCAATTTTTCTATTCCACATACATCAACATTCCATCCACGGAATGCTACTTCCAAATTAATGGTAGGAAAAGCTACAGAAAGCATATACACGGGAACCATGGTGGTAGAAATTGGGGAACAGTTTCCCACTTTTTTCCCAACTCAATAGAAAATTGCATTTGTGTAATAGGTTTTTTAAAAAACTTACTTAATGCGATTCTAATCAGCAAAAAAATGAATTGTAACTGCTACCCACTGGGTAGACTTTCTGCAATTCCAGGCTTCACTAGAATACTTTGGTGATATAGAGATACTGTTGGGCACTATGGGGGCTGTGCAACCCCTTTGAAAGAGACTTTTCACAAAATGTATTTGCATGTATATGCAAAGGACTGTGTATCCTTTAAGCAGGAGAACGCTCTGCATCCTTAGGATTTGCACAATTGTTTTCAAGCTTGTCTTCAGCTTTCTAGTTATGTGGCTAATCTCATAATGGCTTGGCTTGGCTTTGCCTGGTCTTTCCAGCAGTAGTGATTCCTTTAAGTATGCCCACTATCATAGACAGACAGCTTTTAAAGCAACAAATAAGAGGTGGTGGTGTGTGGGTGGTTCTTTTTAACACTTTGAGAGGACATGCTACACTTGTACTAAGATACATTGCAGATGTCTTATTCAAGCATTTTGTACTTTGTATAGCCCACTTTGGCCACCTAATGAGAAGGAAGGACTCACTGGAAATGATGCTGGGAATGATTGAGGGCAATAGAAGAAGGGGATAATGAGGTGGCTGGATAGAGTCACTGAAGCAGTAGGAGTGAGCTTAAATGGACTCCAGAAGATGGTACAGGACAGGAAGACCTGGAGGAACGTTGTCCATGGGGTTGCGATGGGTCGGACACAACTTCACAACTAACAACATGGACATAAATAATAGTAACTTGGCAATTGTCACCATTCTGTCATTTGTAGGTTGGAATACATATCTCTCCCAGATTTCAGGAGGGTATGGTATCTTATTTGTGATCATTCCAGAGGTACAACTTTTTTTCTATCTTGCATCTTCCATTTCTAAAGACAAGGTAGTTGGCCTAGACCAGGGGTAGGCAACTGTGGCTCTTTTATGACTGGTGGACTTCAACTCCCAGAATTCCTGAGCCAGCCATGCTGAGGGGAAAGGGAGAGGTTTCCAAGCTGAGCCATGCTGGCTCAGGAATTCTGGGAGTTGAAGTCCACCAGTCATAAAAGAGCCACAGTTGCCTACCCCTGGCCTAGACAAGAAAAGTGCATTCCATCTAGCAAAGCAAAGCTGTTATGCCACTAAGTTCTCCATTGAAAGCAAAGAAACTGTCCCTCAACTTTTTTTTACTATCTTCTTTGTCCACCCTTGCCATATTTTATTTTAGTTTCCATACCTTACCTCTGTAAAACAAGCCTATTTATTTTTTACTATCATAGGAAATGGCAATGGTTCTATAGGAAATGTGGGAAGAAAAGGTCCTTTAAAATGTACTTCATTAAAGTTTTAACTTTAATTTTGTTAAAACTGTACCCCTGAAACCAATATTATACACCTTTCAAATAAGATACAGATTTCATTTCTGCTTTTACCTGTTTCAGATGGTCATTTAATGCAATCTGCATTCCATTCTTCTTTCTTAACATCTCGCAGGTCATCAGAGTATAGAAAAGAGCAGTGATTAACAGTGGCAAACAGAAATAAAAGCTAAAAATCCACCAGTCTTTAGCTGCCTGGTAAAACTGAGAGAAGGGAGAAAGGGGAGAGGGAAAAAATCAGAATGGTTAAGACGTTGTTTTGTAATTGGCAGTGAAGGATATATGCAAATTAGCAATTGACGAAAGACTGAATGCTAAGGGATCAGTGCTAGGAAGAAAAGTAGATCTATTAATAAAATGTAGCTCCATGAACTTGTTGGAAACGCAAAGCAACAATGGGGTCCAGTCATGGAGGAAGTTTTCACCCTGATGTAGCAGTAGAATCCTTATTCCTGCAATCATTTCCTATTGGAGTTCTGTCAACTTCTTTCCACTAGTCTTTTCATTTCCTGATCCAGGGCCATAAGGTCAAATCAGTAATAGAATAACAGCTGGAAAGGGCCTTGGAGGTCTTCTAGTCCAACCCCCCTGCTTAAACAGGAGACTCTATACCATTTCAGACAAGTGGCTGTCCAGTCTCTTCTTAAAAGCCTCCAGTGATGGAGAACCCACAACTTCTGAAGGCAAGCTGTTCCACTAATTAATTGTTCTCACTATTAGGAAATTTTTCCTTATTTCTTGGTTCCTTGGTTCTCTTCTTGATTAGTTTCCATCCATTGTTTCTTATCTTGCTACCTGGTGCTTTGGAAAATAGGTTGACCCCTCTTCTTTGTGGCAGCCCTCTCAAATATTGAAACATTGCTATCATGTCACCCCTACTCCTTCTTCACTCTAGACTAAACATACTCAATTCCTGCAGCCGTTCTTCATATGTTTTAGTCTTCTAAATCATCTTTGTTGCTCTTTTCTGCACTCTTTCTAGAGTCTCAACATTGTTTTATAATATGGTGACCAAAACTGGATGCAGTATTCTAAGTGTGGCCTTACTAAGGCTTTATAAAGCAGTACTAATACTTCATGTAATCTTGAGTCTATCTCTCCGTTAATGCAGCCTAGGATTGCATTGGCTTTTTTAGCTGCTGCCGTACACTGCTGACTCATATTTAAGTGATCATCCACTGGACCCCAAGATCCCTCACACAGTTTCTGTTATTGAGCCAGGTTTAATCTGATCTGTATCTGTATATTTGACATTCCTTGCCTAAGTGTAAAACCTTACTTTTCTCTATATTGAATTTCATTTTGTTAGATAGGACCCAGCGTTCAAGGCTGTTGAGATCCTTCTGGATCTTGAGCCTATCTTCTGAGGTGTTCGCTTTTCCTGCCAGCTTAGTGTCGTCTGCAAATTAAATGAGTTCTTCTTCTATTCCCTCATCTAAATTGTTTATGAAGATATTGAAGAGTACTGGGACTAAGACCAAACCTTGTGGTACCCCACTATTTCCCTCCATGTAGATGTAGTTCTGTTAAGGACCACAGGTTGAGTGCAATTTGTCAGCTAGTTACAAATCCATCTGCTGGTGATGCTGTCTAGCCCACATTTTTCTAGCTTACCAAGAAGTAAGTTATGGTCTATTTTGTCAAATGCCTTACTATATACTATAGCATATACTATGTCCACTGCATTTCGCTGGTCCATTAATTTAGTCACTTTGTCAAAGAATGAAATAAGATTTGTTTGGCATGATTTATTTTTGACCAACCCATGTTGGCTCCCGGTTATAACTCTGCCTACTTCTGAGTGTTTGCAGATCTATTTTTTTATTATTTTTTTCCAGGATCCTCCCAGGTAATAGTACTAAAGTTGGAAGGGACCTTGGAGGTCATCTAGTCCAACCCCCTGCTCAGGCAGGAAACACTACACCATTTTGGACAAATGGCTGTCCAGTCTCTTCTTAAAAACTTCCAGTGTTGGAGCATTTACTGCTTCTGAAGAGAGGCTGTTCCACTGATTAATTGTTCTCACTGTCAGGAAGTTTCTCCTTGGTTCTAGGTTGCTTCTCTCCTTGATTAGTTTCCACCCGTTGCTTCTTGTCCTGCCTTCAGGTGCTTTGGAAAATAGCTTAATTCCCTCTTCTTTATGGCAGCCCCTGAGATATTGGAATACTGCTATCATGTCCCCCCTTGTCCTTCTCTTCGTTAAACTAGACATACCCAATTCTAGCAACCGTTCCTTATATGTTTTAGCCTCCAGTCCCCTAATCATCTTTGTTGCTCTTCTCTGTACAATTTCTAGAGTCTCAACATCTTTTTTACATCGTGGTGACCAAAACTGGATGCAGTATTAATGTCAGTCTAATTGGTCTGCAGTTTCCTGGATTTGTTCCCCTTTTTTTATACATGGGAAACGCATCAGCTCTTTTCCAGTCCTCTGGTAAATCCCCAGTGCTCCAGGATCTTTGAAAAATATGGTTCAATGGTTTGAAATCATGTCTGCCAGCTCCTTCAGAATTCTGGGTGTGGTCCATCAGGTCCCGGTGATTTGAACTTGTCTAGAGTGGACAGATGTTCTCTTACAATTGTTTGTGTATTTTAATTTATATTCCTAGCCTATCTTTTATGGTTATGTTTTTGGTAGGTTGGGCTATATTTTCTTTTTGTGTGAAGACAGATGAAAAGTATGAATTAAGCAGCTCTACTTTCTCTCTATTGTCCGTTACTTCCTTGTCATTTTCTCCCATTAGTGGATTGATTGTTTCTTTAACTTTTTTCTTGTTTTTTATATGTGGAAAAAAAACCCTTTTTAAATATGTTTGATATTTATTGCAAGTCTTACTTCATTCTGAGCCTTAACTTTCCTGACTTCATCTTTGCAAGTTCTGACCATTTGTTGGTATTCTTCCTTAGTTATGTGTCCCTCTATTTTTTGTACTTATCCCTTTTGTCTTTCAGCTTATCAGAGAATTCTTCGTGTAACCATGCTGGTTTCCTCTTGGTCTTATTTTTCCTTTTCTGTGCTATTGAGCTGGACTGGGCTTCTATAATCATACTGTTCATTTCCCAAGCTTCTTGAGTTTTTTTTTTCCCTTTTTCATCCATGGAATTCTTCCAAAGCTCTCTCTTAAGTTTGTTAGTCAGCTCTTTTAAAGTCTAGGACACTGATTTGATTAAATTATGCTAGTTGTATTTGCATTATATTGAATTCCAAAATGACATGGTCACTCTCCCCCAAAGTTTCAGCAATTTGAACCCCTCTATCATTTCTTCTCTGTTAATAAGAATTAGGTCCAGTATAACTGTCCGTCTAATTTCTTCCTCTACCTTCTGGATGACAAAGTTGTCAGCTTAAGTTGGTTAGGAACGTGTTCGATCTCCTACTTGATACAAAATCAAAATACAAAATGTCATGATTCTCAAGTCATAGTTGCCTCAAAGGTGCTTTTTTCTTCAAAAGACAACTGGACTGTTTTTTCCTTGAAGAAGATGTTTCATTCTCATCCAAGAATGAAGGATGAATGAAGAATGAAGATGGAAGGATAGGAACTGACAGTTGAGACTGGATGGGGGGAAATGGAAGGATAAGTTCTGATAGGATGGTGGGGAGATGGAAGGACTGTATTTCTTTGCAGTGATCTGGTTATTAGCACTCTCTGCAAGCTGTTGAGACCATTTGGAGGTTTATGTGTGCCCTTAGGATCACCTGAATCAGGATGTAACTGATTGTAGAATCTTCCTGGAACTGCTGCAAGAGCTGCGTTATAAACTGGAGATAGGTGGTGTCTTATTCCTCCCCTTCTGTTGAGGAAGGAGTGTTCACTTCTAACATAGATGGTTTCTTTTAACCCTCTTTCAAACCAGTGGTCCTTTCTATCTAAAATGTAGACTTTGCTGTCTTCAAAAGAGTGATCGTTTTTCAAATGCAGATGGCCTGCTGAATCTTGTCCTGATGGGTTTGATCTCCTATACTGTGCCATGCATTTGTTTGTTGGTTGTTTGTTTCACCGATGTACAGATAATAAAGAGAAGGACTGAGAGTGATATGATAGCAGTATTCCAATATCTCAGGCATTGCCACAAAGAAGAGGAGTCAAGATCTTCTCCAAAGCACCTGAAGGCAGGACAAGAAGCAACGGGTGGAAACTAATCAAGGAGAGAAGCAACCTAGAACTAAGGAGAAATTTCCTCACAGTTAGAACAATTAATCAGTGGAACAACCTGCCTCTGGAAGTTGTGAATGCGCCAACACTGGAAGTTTTAAGAAGAGACTGGACAGCCATTTGTCTGAAATGGTATAGGGCAGGGGTAGGCATAGCTGATTCAAGAATTCTGGGAGTTGAAGTCCACGAGTCATAAAAGAGCCAAGGTTGCCTACCCCTGGTATAGGGTTTCCTGCCTGAGCAGGGGGTTGGACTAGACGACCTCAAAGGTCCCTTCCAACTCTATTATTGTTATTGTTATATATCACATTGCTCAGTTTGTATCCGGGGAGTTTATCTTTGGGGTTGCCTTGGTCTATTCTTGGGTGTACGTATATGTTGTGTTGGTTGAAAATCCTCCTGAGCTTTTCGGATATCCCTGCCACATATGGAATGACAACATTGCTACATTTGTTGTTCTCTTCTTTGTCTGTAATGGAGGAGCTCTTTGTTGGGTCTTGTTTTGGATTTGATAAAGGCCAAATTAGGATAATCACAAGTTCTGAGGGATTCCTTGATGTGTTTTGGTTCTTTTTCTTTACCCTCTTTAAACCCAAAAATATCAAAAGAATTGGGTTAGTTTCAACAAAGTAAACAAATTGGATTTGATAATTTCAAGACAAAATTTTAAGATTAAAAAAGAGTTATGATTAATATTTTTTAAAACCACAATTTCTCTTATTTACTCATATACATGGAATTAATGTATTATTATGTCTAATGTCTCTGAATCCCTTCAGACATTTTTCTTATTTGAATGGAAGAATATAAACATTTCAAATAAATTCAATTCAAGCAATGAGGACTACGTGTTTTCAATTTGATTCCAAAAAGGTGACTTACAGCACATGGAAGTCCAAATGTAGGATATGCCTCCAACTATTTAAAACAGTCAAGTCTTCTTTCAGGACTAGTCAAAATACTTATTTGCAACTAAATCCTAAACATTACACAGCACTAATATTTAATTACAGAAATAGAAGATTGCATGTTACCTTCATAAAAGATGATTCTTGGTAGGGATGAAGTAAACAAGTAGACAAAATCTGCCCTTTGTATGGAATAGTAACAATATCAAAGCCTATAGCTTCAGGAATAGCTAAAACAAGGGACACAACCCAGATCAAAATAATTTCAATTGCTGTCCATTTTGATACACCAATTCCTTTTATACGGCTCCATGAAGCAACAGCTCGATACCTAAATATAAAAAAGAGATTCTGGTCAGATTAGGCAGATCCATTCTTAATGTAGTGCTCTGCGGATATTTTACACCAGAAATATTATAATTCTGGGCCATTGATTAAACTATATGTGGCAGATAAACAGTAAAGCAGATCATTTGGGAAGAACCATCAGTTAGAAGATGTATCTCTTCAGATGTTGGTGAATTCCCACTCCATGAATTCTAGTCAGCATGCACAATGGTGAAAAATGACAGCAGATGGAATTCAGAAATATCTGTAGAGTGGCAGATTGTCCGCTGCTCATGCTGGTATATGCTATAGTGTATCGGGGTAATATTTTGTTCTTTTTGACCGATATGAAGGAACCATCAATTTTTGCTTGTTCCTCTTTTTATCTGGGTTTAACTTCACAATGCAACCAACATATAAAAACCTTTGGGGTGTTTTTTTTTTCCCCTGTGCCAGGGTTATGCTCAGGTACAGTATCAGAAGAGGTAATATTACACAGGAAAGAACTGTACTTTGTTCTCCATTCATGGAATTTTCAACTTCCACTACTACCGAAGTAGCAGAGAATATCCTATTATTGCAGCAGTAGCTGAAGAAGGCACAGTGCTTTGAGAAAGCCATGAAAGTAATTTTACTAATCCAGGCTGTCCATTTTTAAAACCTAGCAGGCTCTGAGCAATTCCTTTATCTATCCTGATGCTCCCTTTATTTTCAACTCTGTAACTGGTGTGATCAGAGAGCTCAGGCATGGCCATGAAAGCCATAAACCCCGGGAATTTTATACTGATGGCTTGGAAGGGAATCAAACTAGGTCCAAAATATGGAACACTAAAATCAGGATATATTTCATGCTCAACGTAAGATGCACTATAAAAATACCATCTCTGTGATTAACTGTTCTGTGGAAGTTTTTATCACATATAGATTGTTGTCAGTAGACTGAAATGTGCAACACCCCCTCTGACATCCTCCCAACTATTTTGGGGTGGAACTAGTGGTGGGATTCAGCCGATTCACATCACTTCGGCAGAACCGGTAGCTATTTTTTTGGTGCCGAGGCCCAGAATGGACTTCCGGAAGCGGCATCCACACAGAGGTTGTTCACATATTTGAATCCCATCACTGGGTGGGACATGACAACTTCCAGTTTGTCAGGGGTGCTCCAATTAGCAAAAGCTTTTCAAATCTCATCAAAGGGCAATCAAGTCTTTCCCTGGCAGCAGTGCTATAATTAGCAAGAAATACTTTTATTTTTAAAAATGGTTGAAATTACTTAAATAGATAGTAACATTAATCTCCAGGTCTAACGGTCAAAGTAACAGTATAAATATTTATGTAATGGTTAGTGAAATAAATGGAAGGGAAGAATGCACTACCAATATTTTCCATACTGCTTTTATTTATGTTTTATTAATAGTTTTTTAATCTTCTATTAACTTTTAGGATCTTTATTTTTATGTGACTTCTATTTAAATAATTTCTCAAAGCTTATTTTTCCAAACAAACAGCATTTGTAGAAAGGTACTGAATCTTCAGGGAGAAAATGGGAAGATTAGGAAGTCTATAAATATTCCAGTCTCATGTTTGTTACTTCTTCTACTTAATACTGAGTATTATCTCTTCCTTTTTTAATTCCATTTATTTCTTAAGGTCCCTTTTTTGGTGTGCATCTACGTATCTTCTTTCTAATATTTCACTTATAATACTCATATCATTTAAAAAAGACAAAAAGAATGGTTTTCTCACCTATCAATACTGAGAGCACATAAACTTAACACTATGATGCCAACAGATGTCTTTTGAAAGAAGGGGAATAATTTACACAATTCAACTCCAAAAGGCCATTTTTCTGCGTGAAGCTGTGGAGAGAAAAAGATGTGGTTTGCGTGCTAAGCATTCCAAACTTTAGAATAGAAAGAAACATATGCTAAGCTAATCTTACACAAAAAAATTGCCAATTCTTGGAAGCTTAATCTTGGCATGTGAAAATAAGGAAATCATTTTTGCAGTCTAGAAGATACTATTTTTTCTTAAATCAGCACCAGCTGTTCAGAATTATTCTTTTGCCATGCAAAATACCATGCATGTATTAGTCTTAATTTGGACAGATCTATTTATACAACTGTCACTGGGATTTACATTAATCTCAATATCTCTGTCACAAATTTGGATAGTGGAAAAAAATTCATATGTTTTGGGAGACGTCTGCATCCACCAATATAAGGCCATCCATTGCTATGGGAGGAGTGCACTGGCCCAGTGTACTTAACTTCCTCCTTTGGCTTTTGAAAAACAATGTAATGGCATTCTCAGATGGTTCTTCATTAAGAAAGAGGAAGACGTTCCCTTCAGAATTTAGAATATCTTTATTTGTCCATATTTTCTTAAGACTGATTAAATTTGGATGTACAAATGCTTCCATTGTTGAAAGCCATCCTGAAATTTTCAAGTATATTTTACATTTTATTTTTTTCCATGTTAGTAGTAATGCATTTCTAATATAGTGGTTTTGAAAATATTTATGAATTTTATTTTTCCCATACCATAAGAAAGCATGCCAACCGAGTTGTAAGTCATGTCCCTCCAAATACAACAATCTTTTATTTCTAAGAGTTATCCATACTTTTACCCATGTTAATACTGATGCTTAAAATCTAAACAAGAGATGGAAACTCAGGGTATTGATCTATCATGGTGGTCATATTTACAAAGGCAAGTGAAATATGATAAAAATGTTAAATTGTATGGATTTTGCAGAGAGCAGATCTTGTTTGATCAGATATTATTAACCTTTGATGAAAAACTAATTAAGAAAATGTATAACTTTTTATTGAATTTGAAAATGGAAGATGAACAAGTAAAAGAAACAAGGATAATATGGGCAAAGAATTTTGGATACAATATAGATTTAGAAAAATGGCAACGCTTGTGGGAAAGAAATTATAAATTGACAATGTATATAAAATGTTTTATAGGTGCCTAGTACCAAAAATGTTTAAAAATATGTCAGACAGATGTTGGAAATGTAAACACAAGTCAGATACATATTATCATGTATGGTGGACATGTGTTAAAGCAAAGAGATATTGGACAAAAATACATACTTGGCTAGAAAGGATGTTGGGAAAACATGTAGATTTTAAACCTGTAGATTTTTTTATTAGATATAATGCCAGAAAAGCTTGACAAACAAAGTATATACTTAATTTTACCTTTGACAACAGCGGCAAGAATCATATTCGCACAATATTGGAAAAATGAAGAAATGCCACCAGAGGAAGATATAATTAAAATATATTTGATTATGCGGAAATGGACAAACTTAATTTGAGGTTGAAAGAAAAAGAAGAGACAGAATATTTTCAAACTTGGGACTTATTCTATCAGTGGCTGGAGAAACGAACAAGGGATTAGGAATTTAATTTGTATTAGTGAATGATAAACCCAGACAACACGTTTGTTGAATAAGTACTTTTGAATTGTCCTAAAAAAAATCAATATAAAAAGAAAGAAAGAGGAAGACTGAGGCAAGATTGTTTCTGGAAAGCTAGTCCTAAGTTCTGAGTTTTGGCAGAACCAAATACTATAGCTTTTCATTCTCCATCCTTGGGTACAAACATCTGGCTCACCCAGCACCAGCAAAACTCTATAATGATTCCAAAGGTAGAGGGATGGAGGAGTACTAGGTGGCTTAAAAATTAACCTGCGAGTAATGGCCAACCCCATCATTTATTGTTCTTGAATACTGCATCTTCTGCCAGCAGCTATAAGTAGTGCTAACTCAAACCTGAATGTCCCATGACGAGTTGACTGTGGCGAGTTATTGTAAACCCAACTCAGGTTATGTAATGACCTTTGGGACTGAAAGGGAAGATTGATAGGGAGCATGCAAGGACAGCCTTGTAATATTTGGCAGCAACTTCTTTAATCAAACATGTCTTTTCCTAGGAATATATTGCAGCATGTGATATGGTTCCATCACTCCCACTTACAGCTGCTTTGTAAAGTTGCCAGCAGATGCAACATGAGTCTTTCATATGTTCCAAGTACCTTTCCCCCTTCATATCTGAAATATTGCATAGTACCTAATACTAACTATACTTGCAGAGGGGTGAAGATCTTTAATGTTTTAGATTCTGTAAGAGAACAATTACAACTGAAATATATTCTATGGCAACTTGTTCTAATACAGCACTATGTTTTACTTTCAAGATTTTCCTGACCAACTAAATTGTCCTTTTTGCCTGGATCTGATGACAGATTATTGTGTAGCATAGCCTATATTTTAAATCTTTGATTGGACTGTAATAATTATTCCATTTGTGGGATGGGGATAATTTTATACTGTAATATCAATCCTGAATCATTTTAATAATTCCACTGTAGTTATCCTCAAATTTGTAATTACAGTCTTGAATATAAATAATTTGGGACATGTCATGGAAGATCTATGTGACTTGGACACATGTATTTGGCTTTGAGTACTGTGTACAGCTTTGCATATCTCAAGGACTATTTGGAACATTTGATTTGGACCCTGCACAAAGATTAAAGCTGTCATAAATTTGAAAGCTGTAATATAATTTTCTGCCAGGATGTTAAAAGGGCTGTTTTGATGATGGTGGAGCATTATTGCAAATATTGTAGATTCAAATAAATCTTGAATGATTTTTGAAGGATAGTCTTCAATTATGCTATACATATGAAGTGGGACTCTTATTTATCTTTAGGTCACTATAACTGTGATTAATTTTAATTGTGATTATAACTGTTGCTGATTGAATGCTATGATGTATACCTGCTGAAGACACAGCAATTTTCAAAGAAGACTTGATGAATAACTGAATGATATACATATTAACCATTATTAATTAGCAAACCAGTTTGGTATTGTGGTTAAAGTGTTGGCCACTAAATCAGGAGATTTGAGTTCCAATCCCACCTCAAGCATGAAAGGTGGCTGGATGAGCTTGGGCCAGTCACTCTTTCTCAGCCCAGCCCATGTCACATGGTTGTTATTGTGGGGGAAATGGGAGGAGGAAGGAGTATTAAGTATCCCAAAGATGCTTTTTCATGAAGCAACAGAACTTTCTTGTTTTTCTTTGAAGACATTTCGCTTTTCATCAGCTGAAGAAGCTTCTTTGATGAGAAGCGAAACAGCTTCAAAGAAAAACAAGAAAGTCCAGTTGTCTCATGAAAAAGCAACTTTGGGACAACTATGACCTGGATGACTGAGAATCTCCATAGACATTTAGTGAGTATTAGGTATGCATGCCATCTTAAGTTATTTATTTAAAAAAGAAATAATAACGGTGAGGCAATAAATTAATTCCAATTGCTGAAAGTTCTCCTAACACAGCTTTTTTCCAAAAGAGCATCCTTCAGTTTTGTACTGTAAATCCACATTACTCATCTCCTGCTAACTGGAGATTATATAGAAGCTGACACTGAATACCTTTGGAAGACATCAAATTGGGGAAAACTCTTTTAAGACCTGAAGCCTTAATAAAAGGTGGATAAAATGAGGTAAGCATATCTTCATGATCCAAATATGAATTCGATTCAATAATCAAACAAGATGAACCAAGATCAGGTAGAATGTAATGACTTGAGAAAATACATTAATAGTACTTTTCAGTCTTAACATCCTTATCATCCTGATAGGATCAATAGGGAGAGAATATTTGGACTTAGCAAACAGAAATGACAAATATCAAAGGTGTATTCTCAGTGTCCCTGACATTGCTGAAATATATTAGGATTGTGTGGTACTTCAAAGCATGAAGGAACATGAACAAACTTTTCTGCAACTTTTTAAAGCAGCTGCTGCTTATCACAAACCATGCAGCTGTTCTGACCAGCTTCTATGTCATCCCAGAAAGCACCCTAACTACTTTAAAGATTTGCAGACAAATATTATGTTCACTGTCCAGAGGCTCTGAAACACCAATTTTAAAATTCCATCTGAAGTATTGTACAGCCCTGAAGGACCCAGTACTCACCTAATATTTTTGGCTTCTGTTAGATTGGCTTATGAAACACATTAAAGCAGGGGTGTCAAACTCGCAACATCATATGACGTGTCATGACGTATTGTGACTTTTTTGCCATTGCTGGCAATGGGATGGGCACAGTTTCACTATGATGCATCCAGCCCGCAGGCCAGCAGTTTGACACCCCTGCATTAAAGTGATATAGCCCAACAGATTCCCTTCAGTTGGGTTTCCAAAACTCCACAAAGTAATTAGATCACACATGATCTATCTTTGTATCTGGAACTATTACAGGTAGTCCTTGATTTACAACCACAATGAAGCCCAAAATTTCTGCTGCTGAGCAAGGCAGTTGTTAAGTGAATCACATGGTCATTGAAGTGAATCAAACTTCCATCACTGACTTTGTTAGAAGCCAGCTTGGAAGGTTACAAACGGTGATCATATGACTCTGGGACAGTGGAACTGTCATATATATATATATATATATATATATATATATATATATATATATATATATATATATATATATATATATATATATATATATATATATATATATAATATATATATATATATATAGGTTGCTAACCTAAAAATGATGTCGCAGTTAGTGACTGCTGCTTGTGGATGGCTCTAGATTGAGCTGATACAGGCAAAAGAAAAGAAAAGAAAGAAGATTTCTTTCTCCCATATCTGGGCTGACAGGGTGTTCATTCAAGGTAATATATATATATATATATATATATATATATATATATATATATATATATATATATATATATATATATATATGCCAGTTGCCACGTGCCTGAATTTTGACCATGTGACCATGGGGATGCTGCAAAGGTCGTAAGTGTGAAAAC